CTTCTTTCAAAGATATGCCCGAGGTAATATCTATATCTCGGTAGTATCTCTTTGTCACTAGATCAAATTGCGGAATAGTGTACCTTTTTGACCAATTCCGAAAAACAAACGTTCTTTTCCAATTATCTCTCCATTGTGGTATTTCCGCTACGGTATACCGCTCACTAACGTCACTTTTTTCCATATACCTCTGCAAAAAAGACATTGGACGCTTCATCTCATTGTGGTGTAACAGAAACGAGTTCAATAACCAAAATTCACTTGGATTCGCTCCAGTGAACTCACGCCACTGGTCAAACAGTTGACGATCAGTTATCGTATACACACCATTATTGAAACTTATTCCAAAACGTTCGCTATATTGTTGTAATGTTGGCAACGCAGCCTTTAGAAATTCTGTTGTAAACAGTCCTTGGCACAAGTTGTTTACCCCGGCATAAGGTTTACCACGAGATCTCGGTAATCCCGGAGGTACCGGACCATATGCTACATTATAACTCACATCGATATGGCATTTCGAAGCCATCGCAGTTTTATAAATCGCCAGAGGTGATCTTATTGGTAGAGTCCGTTCAGTCAATACTATACATCTTGCTGCGTGGGGAATATTGCAACCGTATTCGAGCATTCGGAGGTAAATCTGGGTAAAGTTTATGCTACCATGAAGGTTGCGCAATGGTAAAACCTTACCAAAAATATCCGGAAACGGTCTAAATCTTGAAATTATATTATGGGACTCTCTAACTGTGCAGTTGTTCATATCTTCGTGATAGACCACCAGTTCAAGAGGAACTTTCTTTTCTTCGCATTTTTCCAAAAATCTAATCCAGATTTCACGGTTGTATGTACGTTCACTCGCAGATATCATTAACAAGATAACCGGAGGTAGTACAGCGCTCTGTTTTGGCACTTTATGTCTCCAACACCGCCTATTGTACTTGTGACCATGACGTCCTTTTCTACTACAATAGTTTCCACAAAACTTTTTCTTATCGGAATAGTAATATGTGCAAAGATTAGATTTAACATTATGAAGTTTGGTATCGTAACCTCTAAGGTCGTTGTAGGTGTAGATGTTAACCATTATAACTCCTCAATGAAACTGTCAAATCCTATACGGTATCTTCCTTTATTAGTGTCTCGAGTCTTGTCGATTACTAAGAACCCATGATTGTCTTTCCACGCCAGTGAACACAACTGTTTGAATTTATCAAATGGCATGTCGGTAGTGACATGGTCGCTATATACATGTCGTAAATTCGTATCATCCTGTTTGAATAGTATTAAAAGGTTTGCGTTGTCTCTGATAAGCTGCTTTGGTATAGCACTATACGTCTGACCCAAATAAAAGGTGTCAATATTGTTATGCCTACCCATAGTGAAATAGTTTGTAATGTTGTTGTGTTTCTCACAGGATATATCGTCAAATATCATTATTGAATGTTGTTTAGCCTTATTTGGATGAACTACCAAGTTGTTGTCACCATATGCAAAATAACCAATTTCCTTAGGTAGAGCCAATGGTAAAAACTGGTATTTGGGCTGATTCAGGGATTTACAGAAAATGTAGATATTTTCAAAAACAAGACCATTTGGATCGAATAATAAATTAAACACAACATTTGTTTTACCCGAGTTGCTGGGGCCTGAAAGGATGCCGCGAATTGAGTCTGGTAGCAGATGGCCATGTTTATTTTTAGATGCCAGACCCTCGCCTAGATACTCGTCATAGTTTTTTACCGTCAAAGGGGGACTCTGCTGTGCCACACGCATCGTGTTCAACTGATGTAGCACACTCACCCTATCGTTTATAAATACTCCCGGATGCAGCTGCTTGATCTACACGGGGCCGTCACCGGATGCTCTAAATAAGAATGTCGCTTTTACTAAGCCACGTGTCGCTTCTCTTGTCAAAGCCAAGCCATCTGACTTTTATTTTATCTCCTTTCCGCTGTAACACTCTTTCAACTAAATATACATCTCCGGTCTTTGATTTATTTAGCTCCTGTTCATAAAACCCTCCCTTTAGTATTTCACCGTTATGGTCTTTGAGTACATATGTAGGTGGTTTTGTCGGTTTGATGGCATAAATGGTGAAAACCTCGTTTGTCCAGTTTGGCAGATAGCCTTTGGTAAAAACTCTTTTATACTTGCTAATCCTAACACTATCCCCCAGTTTAAATTTCGGTGCCACCCTTTTACCCTTCTTGTTTATCCTTTTTAATATTTCCTTTACATTTTTTTGTTTCACATCTTTTGGTTTCATACCAATTGTTTTATGTACCGAGTTATTATATCGTTTGAGAATATCAGGAAGTAATGACAACCATTCATATGTACCCTTTGCGGTAAACTCTTTCCACATCCACTGTTTCAAAGTTCTGTTATATCTTTCCACGATACTAGCTTTTAAATCAGAAAACGTAGAATAATGGTTAATTTTATACTTTTTCATGAGGGCACCAATATGTTTATTAAACCATTCGGTTCCTTGATCGGTTTGAAAGTGTTTCATCTTATGTTTTATCAAAATAGGTTCAAGTGCCTTGGCAACTGCCGGACCTGTCTTATCTTTTAATGGGACTGCAAACCCGAGTTTTGAAAAACAATTGATCATAGTCATGATGTACCGATTACCTTTATTTAGCTTTGCATAAGGCTGCATCTCTACGAGATCGGCCTGGTACAAATCATTCAACCCTTTAAGAGTCACTTTCCGTCTAGTGTAATTTTTTCTAGCAGGTTTGTGTAGCTCTTCAGCTATAGCACGTCTGACATTCATTGTTAAAATGATACAACTTGACAGTGTATTGATAATTTATTAAGTTTTTAGGAATGCTGCGGCCCCTCCACCGCCGCAGCTCGTGATGGCCTCCAAAAACAAACTAGTTGCCACCTCCGTTTATTTTTTTTTTGTTTTACAAACATTTAGTTTTTACAATATTTACAAGTTACTTTACGGAAGATAAATAAAGGAGCCATGCAAATGCGGCATGTTTCTTTTGGGACTTTAAACTTTGGATACATGTAGTTACCTCTTCGCTTTAAGCGAGAAGGAAGATCAACCATTCTTCCACAGTCAATACATAACCTACTAGAGCCTCTAAAAGACTCGTAGTAGTTTAGGGTTACGTAACCACAGTTTTCCCTATGATAGCTCAAAACGTCCTGCCTTAGCGTTGATGGAAGATCAACACTTTCTTTTACATAAGGTAAAAGGATAACGTTTGTGCAAATCTCCCTAATTGAAAGCTCAGACAGGGACAACATGATGGCAAGAAGGTTCCAAATAGAATAGTCTTTTTATTTGCCCCCCAGAAAAGCTGCGGCCCCTCCACCGCCGCAGCTCGTGACGGCCTCCAAAAACAAACTAGTTGCCGTCTCCGTTCCCCCAAAATTTCTCTTACCACCTTCTCAAGGATGGGATCAAGGATTGTAGACAGGAACATCTTCTCAATCTGGTCCAATTGTATAGACGTGCTGCACAGATGGTGCATCTATCTCTTGGAGTCTTAAATTTTGCTACACATACAACTGTTCCAAACCGTCGAAAAGAAATATTCGCTGCCTCTCCACAATCCTTACAAAACTCTTCATTGTCGAGAAAACAAATATAGTAGTAGACATAGCCACAGTTTTCATGGTGGTAATTGAATATGTAATCTTTAATCACAGGTGGGATTGCTGCTTGCTTTACAGCACTCAAAAGAAACATGTTATCAGTAATTGTTCTAGCTGAGAGCTCAAGTAGGGACAACATGGTGGCGAGAAGGTTCCAAGTGGAATGACACTCACCCCTCCACACATGGTTTACGGGCCTTTCGGCCGCGCCAGTGACCTTCATACATGGTTTAGAGGCTTTTTAGTCAGCCGTGCCAGTGACCTTCACATATGGTTTACGGGCTTTTTAGTCAGCCGCGCCAGTGACCACCATTCACACATGCACAAGGAGTAGCTCAAGTCCCTCCAGATTTGAGCGCCTCAATGTACAAACACATTCAAAAATAGCCCCACTCCAGTTGGATCTCAGCCACCATGTGTTTCGCATCGTGTTTCGGCTGGATATTCTCCATCAAGCGCGACGAGCCGTCGCCATTTATCGTCAAGACAAGGGTGGTATTTCTTAGACCGGTGGAGCCAATCTACGAAGAACTTCGACCCTTGGATCTCAGGCCACCACCGTTACCACCAAGAAACACAGAATATGCCACCATAAAGGTATGTAGTGATAGTGGAGAGGGGAGCGCAACACATGTGCAGCATGTGCAACATGTGTGTTTAGTGTCCAACATGATCTCTCTGATGCTGGTCGTTAGTGATTTTGTTCAACATTATTTATATCGCAGAGTATGTGAATTTTTGAATTTGAGTGAAGAAGACAACGATTCAGACACAGATTCGGAATTTGGGGTCAATTGGGGACCAGGAGGGTGGAACGGGTGGAACGAGGTGGATATTGGGGACTGGGAGTGGAGTGACAGTGATAGTAGTGATTCAGGAGTTGAGATTTTGGTGAGTTTTTTGAATTTTAAACCCATATGGAAGTGTATCATAATTGCTACCATGTTTCCTCTTTGGTCCAGTAATTTTAAACTGTTTGACCTCACTGATTGTAACTATATTCCTATCCTTTGTTCGTCTGATTCTATTTTCCTCAATGTCCATTGTTTGTGCAGCATCACCAAGGACCATCTCTTTCAAACTGTCAAATCCAATCTTTTTAGAAGTTTTCATGTTTAATGTAAGCCCTTTTACTTTACAAACGGGAATCAATTTTTGTTTGTTTGTTGACCACACGAGGTATGCATAGGTTTTTGGCCCTCCAGATACAAACTCTGTTATATATGAACCTGGTCCATACTCGGCCAACTCATCGGTCATTTCCCCTAGATAATCTCCCGTGGGAACTCTATACAAACCGCCCTTGTATACATACAATACAGAATCAGTATCATAATACAACACTTGACCACCCAAAGCATCTAGATGCTCATAGAGCTTCAATCTCGCTTGGGCAGTAGTGTAAGCTGCCACCACAACATTAACATTTTGCAATGGCTCACCAACCTCATCAATGTACTCCCAGCTGACAACAACAACCTCGTCATTGACAATCTGTACTCTATTTACATCAATTTCAGGACTGGTTAACATTTTGAAAAGTGTTTTTGGGTCTCTGACAATTGTAGCTTTGGTCTGATTTTCACGCTGACCAAATTTTCCCCAAAACGAGTTCAACATCAGTTTAGCCAAAGACCTCAAGCCACCATTCTTTACAATTTTATCTTTTTCCAGCTGGACACCCTCTTTTTTAAAATAATCGTCAATGTACTTGTTTTTGTCCTCATCGGTTTCACACCAGCCCGGGAACCCGGATGCTTCCTGTTTCATTTTTAAAAATTTATTTATAAAGTCAGTGAACAATCCTCCGTTTTCATATGTGGCTACCTTATACTCCCAAAGTTCATACATGTCGAGTACAACATAACCCTTTTCTACAGCTTTACGAACTTCGTCCATAGTCCAGGTCCCAATTAGTGCTCTGTCACCACTTTCATGGTCACAATCACTTTGAATCTGACCATCTCCACAAGTCGCGCACAAAACAAACATTAACTTGTCATTCATTTTGGCCGGGAGCACAGGATGGTAAAGATCACGTGGTGGGAGTACTTTACACTTCAATAGACCCTCAACATTAAGACCTCTCTGCCTACACTCTCTATCACCTACATAGATCGTTGGATGGCCTACAGGGTACTTGCCATATTTACATACCCAGGGATAGAGAGAGCATACATTCACGTATTCAATGGTTTCCCCTTCAGCGCATTTGTGATAGGTTTTAGCATTGCCGGTTCGGCCCCCAAAAAATGCTTGCCTCGGGTTCAGAGGTAAATTGTTGAGGATCGGCAACTTTTCTAGGTGTTTCAGGTTTTCCGTCTTTTTTAACTTTCTAAATTCACATTCCCACATTTGTACGACGTTATCGCCCAACTTTGCTATTTTCGATTTAGTCCGTTCATATCGCAAGTGAAGTGAGTCAGAGGGATCCTCTTTCAAAGCAAGTTCACGGTCGTAGGGAAAGCATTTGGGACAGCCATGGAAGTAGCAGCCTTGAAATTCGTAAATATTTTGTCCATCATACCCATCAACTTTCATTCCATTGATCTTAACTTCTTTTCCACGGCCAGCGTGTTCAATTCTAACTCCACGTTTCTCCTCTTCCCACGATAGCCACTGTAACGCGATTGCCGATTGGGCGTCTGTAAGCCTATAACCGTTTTTAGGAACGATGCCAATAGTATTTTTCTTCAAAAAGTTCCTGCGAAAAGCTAAATTGCATGCGCTGGCGATGGTCACAGCCTCGAGAAACGGGTCCACATTACACTCTTCCAGGAAAATTGAACGGAACTTTAAACAAGCTTGAGCCAAGATATCAACATCCGAGATACAGTACTCGAGGATTTCTTTTTTAAAGTCAAATGTAACGTGGTTTGCAACCTGATCATTATACCAGTTTTCAAAATCTTTGTGTGATTTTTCAAACATAGATTCTGGACAGTAAAACTCCTTTGCCGGCATAGGGCCCACATAATTTTGATTCTCAAGGGTGTTGAAAAGGTGGGGAAAATAGCCTTTCTTCTTTTCTGGAGGCAGGTCAAATGCTTTAGGTAGTGCAGCAAGAGGCATAGGGAAATAACTAAGTGAATCAACAAACCTCACATTGTCAATTTCCATCAAAATTACCTTAGTTCCCCGCATTACAAGTTTCGGGGTGAACTTTGTATCTTCTAGCACATACTTGAGCAAAAATTGGAAGTCAAAGCCCTGCCCATTGTGTGCGATTACACAGACATCTTTGAAATTTTTACGGACCTGCATTACATAGTCCATGAACTGAATGACTGGTTCAGATTTAAAGACTCTTGTTCGATTTTTACAAGCCATACAAAATTTAGCCTCAATACACTGATAGCAAAACTGTTGGGACACACACAAGTTTACTTGATGCAATTTAGACTCGGGATCTGAGGGCAGGGACTCATCTTGACGGGTTTCCAAGTCAAAGAAAATAAACAGAAAATCTTTTGACTTTGGCTTTCTCGAGTCAGGCTTCATATAACATTTGTGATTAGGGTCTTCAAAAGAACCACACGGTTTACAATATACTTCGCCACATTTGTGAGGCTTGGACCGTTCTCTAATCCAAACCAGTTTCCCACAATCGAGACATTTCTTTACATTTTTACACTTGTCAGCTTCATGCGCGATAAAACATCCCTGATTTTTATAAGTCATGTTACATTTAGGGCACAGAACACCACCATTTTCCTCTACACAAGGAGGTGAAATGGTCTGACACTGTGAGCAGATGTTTGAGCAGCGGTGGGCTCCTTTGTGATCATAGGGTACATGGCATGCTTCACAAAAATATGTACAAACAAAAGCAGCAGTCAAACTATTAATCACATTGTAGTGACCATCGTGAAACAGTAAATTTAGTGTGAATTTTGCATTTTCTAAATTTCCCTCAAAGTAGACATCGCGACCTTTGCTATCATAGTTGTACACGACAATTTTGTAGTTTGTTAAAAACCCCTGAAATTTTTCAAGTTCCGGGATCCCAGCTCCACCCTCTGGAATTTCAACCCTAGCTCGACGCACAAGTTCCTGGGCCCTAACTGTTTGCCTATTTGCCCTATCCTTTCTAACTGCATTATAGTCAGGATCTTTAGTTACATTGGCTATAGCCACTACAATTGCACGGGGAAGACACAATTTATCTTTATTATTTATAACAACAATTCCCCGTCTTGCCTTGCATTCCTCATCAAACGTATTGTAAAACCCTGGTCTTACCCTTCCAGAACCTACAGGAAGGTTAATTCTAGTACATTCCACTTTAAAGGTGTCGGTAGATTTTATAGATTCAGAGTTTGATTGCACAATACCACCAAAGATTTGCCACAAAACGTTTTCATCAATTTCAGTAGCCGGACGAAAATTTACATAGCCGGGTGCTTTTGATTTCAAGTTGAGACTCTCCAAAGTAAATCCAAGTTGATCATTTTCAAAAGCTTGTTCTTTCATACTATTTACAATTTGTGCAAACCCCTGTCTCAACCAATCAATCTCATTAGTTTCTGGAGGCGGATTGGTGAATTTAAATACAGTTTTACTCCCATACAATCTAAATTTATTTACATAAGTTTGATCAGTACTAATCAAATTAACAGGCTCAACTACTTTTACGGGTTCAACTACTTCATCGGATACGTTATCAGCCATACTAACATCCATCGTCGTCAAACGCCTAGAGCAAAGTAAAAGAGACGCAGAGACACAAGATCTAGTGGGGACACGGCCTGCGCGCGCACACAGCTAAATATAGCACACCGATTGCACAACACTGAGACACAAGATGTGGCGGGGACACAGCTGCGCGCACACAAAGCTGAATATAGCACACCGATTGCGCAATACGTTACACTAATGAAACAAAGTTCACTTACCACTGATATACCGTAAATAATCAAACTAACATTTAACACCAGAAATAACTTTCTAACATAACCTCAAAACATCAAACACAAGAGCAAACGTCCAACACGTTCAATTGCCAAGAGCAAAGTGAAAGAAAATAAGTACTAAAAAGTTTAAATAGCAAAAATTGGCCAATCACACAACAGATCACCTATTTATGACCAATCAGGTACAAGCTTATTACAACCAATCAGCAACCAGAATACACACCATTAACACTTCCTTGTTTTGTTACAGAACCATGAAGATGAAGAAGAAGAAGAAGAAGAAGTTTAGTTTAGTGTTTGTAAATATTTTTAGAATAATGTAAATATAAATCGTAGATATAGTAGCATTAAAACATATTTTAGACCAAACAATCTGTGTAATTATTCAGGACACAGCTTTGTGGAGGCTATTTCATTTGGTAAGAGTTAATCATTACAGAGGTTATATCAGTTGGCGGGAACCTACGCAATACGTAAAGTGAGGCTTGGCAGGAAGGTTACGTTTTTTAGCTCAGAAATAAAAATAAGGTTACGTCACTTGGCGGGAAAGTGAGGTTTTTTTCATTTGGCGCAAGTCACTTGGCGGGAAGGTGATTTTTTCATTTGATACAAAAGTGAGGTTATGTTACTTGGCGGGAAGGTGATTTTTTTCGTTTGGCGGGAATTGGTGAAGAAGAAGTCAGGTTTTTTCGTTTGGCGCGAAAATAAAAGTAAGGTTATGTTACTTGGCGGGAAGGTGAAGTTTTTTTTTCGTTTGGCGGGAACCTTCGTATGCAATACGGTTTTTTTCGTTTGGCGCAAAAGTTAGGTTATGTTACTTGACGGGCAGGTGAAGTTTTTTTCGTTTGGCGGGAACCTTCGTATGCAATACGTAAGGTGAGGTTATGATGTTTGGCGCGAAAAAGTGAGGTTAGACCACGTGGGACCACAGAGGTTAGACCACGTGGGACCACAGAGGTTAGACCACGTGGGACCACAAAAGGGGGCGTGGCTTAGGAGGAGGGGTGGGGATGAAATGCTGCTCTCTGATTGGTGGCCTGAAGTACAGCGTATCCTACTATAATCATTTGACACGATCCGAGGACTTGTAAGTTTCGAGCATCCATATTAAGTTTACTTTTAATCAATTCGGTTAAAATAGTTATTTATTATCTTTACCAGTTTTGATTTTGTCTCCTTCAAACGTGTTCCGGGAAGGATTTTACGCTAATGCAACACTTAACGCACATTCTGTATTACAAGAGACTTTGGGTTCACGAGGTACTCTAACTCATTTATTATATGTCTTGTATTTTTTCTTATAGACGCCACGTTATACAAGTATAAAGAAACCACCATTGTCTTATACGTGCATTTTTACAATTCGAAATTAGGCCCAACATAGCCTATATAGTCTAATCAACATCAGTATATCATTTAAATTGAACTTGCCCCTTGATGAAACTTTGCCCATTTCCTCTCAAGATAGCGACACACAAGTTTTTGTGGTTATGAGGCTCAGTTTGGACTTCTGTTTCAGGAAATTAAACATTTATTATAGTTGTGACAAAATTTCGGACGGGATTCAATTAACAGCTGTTAAGGCACAGGGTGAGGCAATGAGAACACCACGATTTATAAATAACACAAATTAAATACTATTTACACTATACACCTAAATACCACATTAAAACAAAGGTTATCTTATGCCATTTTCAGTTGATAAAGTCATTTGTTCATTTCTGAAACAAGACATAATTTAAGTAACGACCTTGAACACGTTGACAATCCTCGACTCGATTGAAAAACCGTCGAATACTCGTTCCATCATTTCTTGAGGAATCATATTGTATAGCTTACAAAGAAAATTATCAAAGTATTGTAACTAGGGCAAACGGTTAGTTTGAATTATTACCAGGATATGGAATGGAGTTGACTAAAAAATTAAACTCTATTCCCTATCCTTTATACCCCAAACAGAAAATCTAACCTTAAAACCCACTTTATTTTATATTATTATTGGTCCGTACTATCTGTTAATTGTTTACTGTAGCTTACTTTTAATTTTCCAATAAATTAAATTATGCTTGGACTACATAGCAAGTTTGATGCTATGTAGTCCAATCAATGGTTATTTAGGGTTACTCCCATTAACCGGGAAAGGTGGTCGTAGGGATCCTTATTTCCATTATGTATACAATAAACACAATAATTTAAGTATTGTAAGTAAGCAAAGGCCATTTGATACTAAAACATAGGGTTGGAGTCGACAAAAAAAACAACCAACTTCATTCCCCATCCTGTCTTCCCTAGGTTAAAACATCACCTCTTTTAAATTTATTGGTCCAAAATACATTTTATTTGTCAATGTACTTTTTTGGTTTCATTAAACATTTAAATCTTTGTCCTGTTCCTGTTTGGCTATGGTACGGTTTACTTTAATTTCTTATTAAAATTTTATTATTTGATATTTTCTTCCAAGCATGTTTCCTTCTCTTCATCTTTTGTTTTTCCTTGATAAAGTGCTTTTTGGTAGATCTCAATATAGTTTCAATTTCGTTCATATTTTGATCTTCCATTCGCCTACAAATTCTGCTATCGAGTATATAAAAACCTCAGTCCGATTTCGTCTGCAACGGTAATGCTTCTTTTATTTGCAAAATAAATGCTGGGGGTGGGGTACAAAAAGTAGTGAGAAAGTTTACTTTCTTGAATACTTGAAGTTACCTTCCGTAGTCCAGAGGCGGGAATTGGACAGGTCAATAGGGAAAACAATAATAATAAAAACAACTCATAACTCCATTCTAGGCCAAAAGACTCTGTTTTTAGAAATTTGGCTTGAGGTTGTGAATAACATTTACTTAAAGATTAAGGAAAAATTTAAGAAAAGTGTTTTAAGTGTTACCTATTATATTTTGCATACAATAAACAAACATATTTGTAAGTTTTGTAACTAAATGGAGAATGGAGTTGACTAAAACGACCAACTCTTTCCCCACGCTGTCTGATGACAAGAAACCCACTCTTACTAACTTATTCTAACCGGAAATTACAACTAACAATAATCTCTATCACACAAAACAGGTCCAATGTCTTCAGACGGAAATAACTGACATATCTCAAAATAACCAAATTTAGACGAGGCGCCCGCTAGCAGTAGGTTTTTGATCTAATCTGTTATACCACAAGTAAACCCCCCCCCCCACAAGTCACAAGTACTCTAAAAAACACCCTCATACAATAATGAACTGGAACAATTATCATAGTTACAATAAACTATGATATCTTAATTAATTCCATATTATCATGCAAGTCATCATTTGAGATTTCCTCTTTTCGAAAACCTGTTTCAGAATACGGCACATGGAAAGACATTTTAATTTGGAGATACCAAGACTGAAGATCCATTAGCTTCTGCTAGGTTACAGGAGAGAGATATTTTTTAAGGGAGATTTTTTCTTTCGGTCTATGTGGTCGACCCGCATGAGGGATAAAATTAGAGTTTTCCTACCCTGTAGAAGCGGGACGTGTTCCGGGTCCCGCAAAATGTCGGCCTTGTTTCCAGGCCGATTGCGTGTGACGTGTGTGTGAGTGATTATAATGGCATAT